TTTTGGGGAATCATTTCCTTGGGGGTGAAAATGAATTTTTTAGCATATTTTTTTATCTGCCAGCCTTTCAGAACTTTCCTCACACCATGCCACCTAGCCTATAAATTGTCTCTATAATGGTGTATTTTTTTGAGGTACAAGTGATTTTGGGGAATCATTTCCTTGGGGGTGAAAATGAATTTTTTAGCATATTTTTTTATCTGCCAGCCTTTCAGAAGCTTTCTCACACCATGCCACCTAGCCCATGAATTCTCTCTGCAATAGAGTATTTTTTTGAGATATAAATCATTTTGGGGAATCATTTTATAAAATGAGGTTTTATTTAAACTTTTTTATCTACCACCCCTTTAGAGATTTTCTCAGTATATGCTATTTAGCTCATTAATTACTCGTACTTTCAATACAGTAATCGGTAAGTGAAAATTCGATGAAAAGTGTTGGGTTAACTCTTTTTCCTGCCAATTATTTAATTAGGGTGGAAAATGATTCTTCCTATAGGGCTGCTTATTCTCGTGCATATATATTTATTATTGCGATCTGTTGGCTGTATCCTTCACAATCATAGTCTGGTCGAGGATGTCGACGCCACTGGTCATTCGGGTATCTTCGGCAAATTGTCCGCTAAATTTTGTCTGCCAACTTCACACCGGTGGTCAATCAGACTGTCAACCGACGATTTGAACGAACACGATCCCAAACGCTGTCAATATATTAATCAGTTCTTCAAGATGAAGGCTTCGTGGTTCATCTCCAGTCGACTCTATCCCTTCTGAAAATGCCGAAAGCTACCGAAAAAGCCTGGGCTCTTGACAAAGCACTATCTCCGTAGGAATGCTGAAAATTAACAAGAATTTCCGCTCACTGTGCCCAAGTCTGAAGCAAAACTTGATAGCACATGGTTGCTCCAAATTAATGTTACTCATTTTTAGAACACAATAGGAAAAACTGTTTCACAAAAAACCAAATGGCTCGAACGAATTCAAACTAGTACTGAAGGCGGATCACATACTCTCCTGTCCCTTCTCCAAGCTTGGCACCTCTTAGAGTTGCCAAAGCGAATGCTACGTTGCTAGTTCCATTACTTAATTTCCAGACCTCGTATGTTGAATCAAGGCAAAAATAAACTAATTATAAAAGGGCAGAGGAAGAAGCAGTTCTCCTCGGTGATTTCAATACCCATAATCATCTTTGGTTGTGCTCAAAGAGTATCGAAGCAGCACGTCGTGCAGTTGAAGCGTTCTCTGTTACTCAAGGGCTGATCCAGCTAGTGACGAGGCCTACTCTTTCCGCCGCGTTTCGTCACATGCCAGTAGCCTGGTTGTACTCTTTCTGACCACGTATCCTGTCCCTTGCAGTACTGCTGTTCTGTTTCCCCTGGGTAACTCAAACCACGGTGTTGCGGAGGTTAGGATTCGGTCAGAAGCCGCTGTCGTACCAGAAACTCGCCCATGCCGCAAAGTTTGACATTACGAACACGCCGACTCGGAGGGGCTCGGAAACTCCTCCACCTTACTTCGGAGTGACGTTTATTTCTCTGACGCATATGCGTTGGCTGTCTGTTCATCGATAACCGAAATTATCCACGTTGAGATGGAGAAATACATCACTCATACAGTAAAAGTGCCTGAACCAGGGTCCAACGGCAGGTTCAACAAATCAGGCGACACTGCTCCTCAGCAGAAAATCAAAGTACATAGAACCTTTCAATAAAGCCCCACTGAAGAGAACATACGAGACAAAATCCAGAAGCAAATATAATGAAGCGGCCCGCAATGTAGAGCAATGACAGTCATGTTTTCTGGACGCCAAGCAGATTGGAAGTAACTTCTCACAGAGTAGCCTTCCACCGCTTACGTGTCAGGGTGGATATTACCATAACGTCCTCGAGTTCGTGTGCGACGAGGTATTTCCTGTACGCGACAGCGTGGAGTGGGCAACGGACCCTCTGCCCCCCAGGGGAGCAGAGGGACAGCTAATCGGGCTCTGGTAAAACACCGGATCCAAGGTGTGAGGCTCCTTGCTGAGGGATGAATGGTGTCGGGGCGATCGGCATCGTGAACGGACCCTCCGGAAGACCGAGCCGAATTCCGGAATAAGTTTGGCGTTTGGCCGTCATCTCCATCATAGCAGGGAGAAGAATCGCATCTCTGGGGCTTCAGAGGATGATACTCTGACAGAGGCTCCTCAGGGCGAGCTGACCCCTGCTAACAGGAGTCTAGAAATGACTCCACTGTCTATCATCTCTAAACAGGAGAGGGAACGACTGAACCCCCCTCTGCCAGAGGTGGCAGGCTCAAAATCATTGGAAAAGATTCCCGGGTGCAAGGAGAAGACGCCTGACAGCGCTTTTCAAAAGCAGCATGCCATATGAGGCGACGCTTGCAATAATCCTGGGGGAATCAGCGAATGACAAGGGCAAAAACTACAACTGCAGCAGGTAGGAACAGAGAGGGCGTGAAGTCGTTCCCATTGCTGGCTGCATCAAGCGGCCCCGTTTGGAAGGTAGCACTCCCGAACAGGTACCGAAAAAGCTGAGAAGTGATGGGCAGGCTCCGATGTATGGAGAGATTGCGGGGAGCATCCTGCGATCGTCTTTACCAAGGAGCAATTGTTTGCTCTTCAAAAGGCGATATTGTCTGGACAAATAAAGCATGAACTGGCTTAAAGATGCGGCAAAGCACCTCCAGCCTCGGGAAGGCACCAAGGTCAAGTTTGTCAAGGTGGGCAATCTTCCTGAACCCCATACATGCGTAGCATACCTTTCGGACGAAGTTCCAGGAGAGCGACTCGATAGGGAGGATGTGCTGCGAATACTGCGGGATATGACCATGCAGGAAAGGAGGCCGCTGATGTGTAAGAGGAACAGTGTCGCAGCCAAGACCGATCCCTGGGCAACACCCGCGTTGACATTGTGGGATGAAGAGGAGAACCAGTTAATTACGACGGATATGTTGCGGCCAGAGATAAAGTCAGCCACCTATCTACAAAGACTTTCTGGGAAGTCATAGAAGGGAAGTTTGCGTGCCACAGCTGATCGAACGCTTTCGTGATGTCAAGAGCAACGACATGATCCTCACCACAATTGCTTGACGTAACCTAAGAGGTCCCCTGTGGATCGCTGTTGCCGAAAACCATACTGCTTGTCGCTAGTCAAGCTGTGACGTTCGAGGTAGTCCAGAAGGTCGCGATCTATGGACCTCCCTATCACCTTACTTATGACAGAAAGCAGAGCTATAGGCCTGCAGTTGTAAGGGTTGTTCTTAGATCTTTTCTTTGGGATGGGTTGGACATAAGCAAACATCCAGTTTTCTGGGAAGGTGCCGGATTCATAAGATATCTGGAAGAGACGCGAAAAAACTGAAGCAAGCTCCACTGCACACTCTTCAGCACAATGGCAGGAATCAAGTCCGGGCCAGAAACTTTGTTGATGTCGAGCAACAAGAACACTTGTCTTAAGGTCTTATGTCTGAATGTTACCTCTCGCATAGTGTAGGGAACCCTTGGCACTTGGTCTTTGGGTTGAGGGGGACGTCCATGGTGGAGTTGGCAGCAAAGATCTTGGCAAGCACTTTTACCTTGGCCTTTGAGTCGGATACAATCGTTCCATCCTAACACGTAAGTGGTGGAAGGCTACTGTGTGAGAAGTTATTTTCAGTCTGCTTGACCAACGTCCAAAAAGACCGATTGTCATTGCGCTGCGACACTACCCTCTGCCTGACTTTTATATCGTGCTGGTTTTCGGCATTGCAAACCGCTTCGTCATATTTGTTTCTGGACTCGACGTCGGCTTGTCTGTTCTCTACAGTGGGGTTTTGTAAGTTGGTTATGTGTGCCTTGGACCCTGATTTAGGCACTTTCGCTGTGTGAGGGATGTATCTATACCTCCATTCCAACGTGGATAATTTCGTTTATCGAAGAACAGACAGCCGACGCATCCGCGTCAGTGAAACAGACATCTCTCTAAGGAAAGGTGGAGAAGTAGTCTCTGAGTCCCTCCCAGTCGGCATGTCCGTAATGCCAAGATTTGTGGCCTGTACGAGTTTTTGCTGCCACAGAGGGATCTAACCGACACCTAACCTCCACAACACCGTGGTCCTGGAGACAGGACAGCAGCGCTGTAAGGGACAGGATGCGTGGTCAGAAGGAGATCCAGCAGGCTACTGGCATGTGGCTGGGTCAGCCGCTGAGTAAGCGAGAACGCTTCGACTGCACGACCTGCTGCATCGGTTTTGTTTGAGCCCAACCCAAGCTCATTATGATTGATGTTCAGGAAGTCGATGTTGATGGCGAGGTATTCAAGGAGGTCGTCCCAGTCATGGTCAGAGGGAGGGCGATAAAGGCAGCAAATGAATTTGGATGATATTTTGGAGCTGAAGCGGAGCCACAGAATTTCCTTCCGGTCTGATTCCAAAGAAACATCTCTGGAGCGGAAAAAAACCACAACTCCCCCGTTCTTTCTCAGATTGGAGTACACCTCGTAATTTGTGAAGCTAAGATGGTTAAACGGCGCAGACTCTGAGATTTTTATCTCCGTCAATAACAGCATTACGGGACGATTGGACTGTAGGTAGTGATAAACAGCATCAATGTTGCTGTTAATCCCGCAGATGTTCGTAAAACAAAGTTTATCTTTGATGTTGTTTCCTCGAGCCCACCATCCATCCGGACATTCCAAGAGTGGAGTGGGTTCCGTCCGGAATTCTTAGTGCTGAAGGATCCATCATAATTAATTTCTTTGTTTTGGAAGATAACCGACTGCATTTAATGATATTACATAGACCTAAAGTGGCCCGTTGGCGGACTTGTACAGCCACCCGACAATCGGTACTGAGATATTCCTTAACGCGTAAACAATCGCTTGAACGGGAAGAAGTTGTATACTGAATAGAACAATTTCCGGAACAAGCGTTTGCCACGACACCGCTCAATAGGGGGTAATTTTTTGAATTACGTGCCATGTGGATAAAATGTAAGGGGTTGGAGTTTAATGAAAAATCGTATTTAAAGTTCATGACTGTCTATTTTGGAAATCGGAATATAAAGGCAGTATGAAATACGTATTGTAGATAAGAGTAGTGCTACCGCTAAATAAATCAAACAATAAATATGAGGAAGGCATTTATTTGATTTTATATTTCTTCGATTTCCTTACTAATACTACTACTGCTACTATTACTACTATACTAAAACGAATCTTAGCACTTGCTGTGATCCGACTCTGTTCGCGGGCTGAGAGGTTTGGACAGCAATTTCTGTGCAGCAGCCAACTTTTCTTCCAATAGTGTAGCATCAGGCGTCCTAGACCTCATATGAACTGCAATATTGCCTGAAAAGGAGTATACTGGTTAAAAAACAAAAAGACAGGCGTACATTATTTTCATCGAAACGCGACTAGTCAAAATTTGGTATTACTTCCATAACTGTAGATCACTTTTGCCATTTGGATGTAAGTCGCATTGAGATAATCTGTTAAGTTTTCGAGGATACTAGATTGAACGGCTTCATTATAGTATTTATGCTCTTAGTGTGTAATGATTTCATTATAATTTTAACCTTTAACTACTCGCGCTGGTGTATATAGTACACCAAAATGGCGCCGAGGGCTGCCGAGTCCATGCGAATAGCTGTTCGTCCGCGCCGAGCCAGGTATGCCTCGCTCGATGTATCTTCCAGATGTAGCGCCAGTACGGTTCGGATCGCTAGAGGACAAGGTTAGATATTTCAAGAAGTTTGAGGTGGTGTACAAAATACACCAAGGCGAGCAGTTATGTAAGTAGATAGTGGAATGTATTTTTTTTAGGTTTTCCATGAAAACTTATTTGTAATGTAGTCTGTATATTTGTATATAATTAAACATCGATTATATGTTTTGAATTAATTGATTTATTCATTCAAGGAATCGAGTTAAGGTGAAAAATCCTCAAAAATTGACCCAAGATGAATTAGCGGCTATAGCCCAAGTTATATGTGATACGGATACCGAGGAAGAAGTTGGAGGAGAAGGAGATTCTGATGGAAGTGAACAAGTAGAGAAAGAAGCACACAATTCGGATTCAGAACAAGAAATAAGCGAACTAGGAGAAGTGGATGAAGTGGATGTTGATCAAAGTAGTTCTGATTCTGAAGATATCCTGCTCTCGGTGTTAGCGGCCAATAAACAAGATAAGTATATTGGCAAAGACAAAAAGACTATTTGGTATAAAAATTATCCCATGAGTAAATCCAGCAAGTCCAAAATAAAAAACATTATAAAAATACTACCAGGGCCAAAGCAATGCGCACGTGACATAACCGATGAGACAATTTTCGAAAATTTTTGATGATGAAATGATTGAACATATTATTCACTGTACTAATTTAGAAATTTCAAGAGTTAGGGAAAACTATGATCGAGAACGAGACGCAAAGGACGTTACAAAAACGGAAATGCTGGCTTTTATAGGCTTACGGTTTTTATCTGGATCTAAAAAGCAAAACCACACCCATTTTTTGGAATTATGGACAAAAGACGGTACCGGATCAGAAATATTTCGAGCTTGCATGAGTTATCAAAGGTTTCTTTTTCTGCTGGCAAATATTCGATTTGATGACAAAACAACAAGGCATGAACGCAAGAAAATAGATAAATTGGCCGCAGTGCGGTACGTTTTAGATAAATTTGTAAGTAATTGCAAAAAAAACTACTCTATGGGCGAATTTATGACAATAGACGAAATGTTGATTGCGTTCCGAGGACGATGCAGCTTTGTCCAGTACATACCAAACAAACCTGCGAAATATGGTTTGAAGGCATTTGTGCTCTGTGATGCTAGAACATTTTATGTGAGTAATTTGGAGCTGTACTGTGGAAAACAACCAGATGGCCAATATAGCCAATCTAATACACCAACTGCCATCGTTCACCGTTTGCTAGCAGAACAAAAAGGAAGCAATAGAAATCTAACCTCCGATAATTGGTATTCAAGTTACCCTTTGGCAGTGGAACTTCTTCAAGACAAAATAACTTTCATCGGAACCCTGAAGAAGAATAAGCGAGAGCTGCCGATAGAGTTCTTGCCAAATAAAAATAGGTTGGTTGGGTCATCACTTTTTGGATTCCAAAAGGATGTAACGATAGTGTCACATGTCCAAAAAAAAATCAATGCGTGGTTTTGATTTCAACTATGCACGACGACTCCACTATTGATCCATATACCAACAAACCTGAAATAATTCTAGATTATAATATGACCAAAGGGGGTGTGGACACAGTGGACAAAATGTGCAATACCTATTCTGTTGGAAGAAGAACAAAAAGGTGGCCATTGGCTTTCTTCTTTCAGTTGCTAAATATAGCAGGCATCAATAGCCAAATTTTGTATAACGGCACTCACCCTGAATCTCCTCACAAGTCCAGAAGAATTTTCCTGAAAACTCTTGCTCTGTCATGGATGAAACCTTTTCTTTCTGAAAGAGCTGCAATACCTACGTTACCTATAGATATCAGACATTTCCTATCCAGATATAGACAAACTCAAATGGATGAAGAAGAGGAGCCACCCAGAAAAATTAGAGGAAGATGCTCCATCTGCGCCCGAAAAAAAAATAGAGTTACCACAATTACATGCAGCATTTGTCACCAGTTAGTGTGTAAAGAGCATAGTGTCAACGTTATCACCCGCCACAAATGTAAGGAAGGCGGATCCCATAGTGAATAGAGAATTATTAATTATGGTTGTTTTTTTCAATTTATTTTTACTGTCTTATTTGATTTTGTTTACTATTTTTGCTAATAAATATGTATTTGAGTTCAACAGTTGCTCTTATTACCACAGCTATAACTTATAGGGCAAACAAAACATATATTTGGATCATACTTGCAACGGTGTACAAAATACACCGCGCGAGTAGTAACGTGAAATAAAAATGCGCGAGTAGTTAAAGGTTAAGGCTGCAGAGTTGATTATCAGTACCTAATGCAAAGAGAAAATTCATTTACAAAAGGTGCGTAAATAAAATAGAATCCTTAAATTGTATGTACAGGGAAATACGATAGCAAGTACTACCATCCACGTATGTATAAGTTCGACAAAGAGAATGGAGAGAAAAATGACTGTGACATTCAATTCTCAATGATTCTTGAATACTTGTGTTTTATAGGGCTTTTGGACAAGTCTTAGTTGATATGAAACTCACCATTTCCAGTATCTTCGTCGCACATATATATGACTGCATGAGTTTTATAATCTGTGGCCAAGACTTTATATAACAGTTCTGAAAAACAAATAGAAGAATTATCCACCAATAATATTGTATCTGACACTAAGGATAACAATTAAATCTCAACTTTTTTATGATTGTATCAAATTATTGCAAAATGGCTATGATAAAACTTACTTTTTCCGCCAAAAACGGTTTTGAAATCTCCTCCTGAGGAGCGGACTACTTCCCCTTCGATGACGGCCTTACCTCTGCAACAACAAAGTGGTCAATTTACAAATATAAAAAATAGCTGCTGGCTTTCTGAGCATTTTATACCACATATGTAACTTTTAAGAGGCTTCTACTTTTTTCTAAAATGACGTAGTTTTCATGTAGTATGACTTATAGCACTGCTGTGTTCGATTTTAGTTGATAGAAAATCCTGATATGGATGTTGTGTTGTAAATTGACCATTTTGTCAACTTGATAATATTTATAACATTAGGCAGGATTTGTTAAGTGAAACTTGATGTCTTCTAATTTAAATTCCAATTTCCACGAGATCTGGAAAACTAACTTGAAATTCGCCATTCCACCATGTAAGTTACTAATAGATGTTAAAGATCTTATTGACAACAAATTTTAATTTCTAGTAATAAATTATTATAATTAGTCGAAAACTAGCATACTTTCCAAAGCAAAGTACACCAAAAAGTAGAAAAACAAAAAAATGGTTAAGAAAGAAAAAAGCGTGATTGTTTAGTCAAGTCATTAAAGTGAGTTACACTTTTTGTCGAAAATCTGACAATGAGTATTGCTTAGGCAATTTTGGTAAACGGTATATGATGGCAACTATATATTCTGAGGAATCCTGATAATTTTATCTCCAAGTGGTTTACAATGAATATCATTGTTCATTGATTTTTTCGCAAGTAGGGCACTTTCAAGGTAAGTAATAATTTATGGGTGAAAACTGAAAACAAATCATTTAATTGAGTGTTGGATATTTTGCTGATACACGATCAAATTTCCGGAGTCCAAAAATAAAACAAACACAGTTATTTTTGGATCAATCGAATTTGGTTTTTGGTATACCATAGTTGTTTAAACTTGAACAGTTATACTGTATTACAGACACGATCAAGGATTCACATAATATTTTACATATCTTGGAATTAGAGTACGTACCATCATATAAGTTTTCTACGAAGGACTTCAGACATTTTCGATAGATCTTTTGTGTCAAAAACAACATCAAGCATTTCTGCAGATTCAGAGAGCTGTATGTTTTATTACTTATTTGGACCTTCAAGAGTGACATTAAGTCATTCTTCTTTTTTTAAGCACAAAAAAATACATTTTGAGGGTTGCAAGCTAGATTATGATCAGACGAATGTTGTACTAAACTTTGAACCTCATTTTGTAAAGTTTCTACAATATCTTGGACCTTCTGGGGGTTAAAATAGTGTAACAATTGTGTTTCATCTGCGAAAAGTTTTTTTTTTTTTTATTTGTAAATACAGAAGCCGCATCGACCCAATTGGCCATTAGCGGCGGATTTAATAAATTACAGTTTACTTAGATATTTGCATTTTTGTAGAAATTTCAGGAGGTTTGTGAGATTGTTACTTGGTCCTAGTATAACTGATAGTTCTTTATCAAGGTTACATGATATTCTGTAATGTTCTAACATTGGGCACTCCACTAAAATATGTTCAACAGTTAAAGTCACGTCACAAAACACACAATAGGGTTCCGGTTGCTGCATGATTAGGTATTCATGTGTTAATCTGGAGTGGCCCAGACGAAGACGGCTTAAGATTGTCTGCTGCCTTCTATTGGAGGTGATGGTCTGCCATGGACTTAGATGGTGTTTTACCTTCAATAGTTTGGCTGATTTATTTTGCCATGCATTGTTCCAGTAATCAATGGTTCGATTTTGGTAAAATAGTTTCACATCTGATGTAGGAACTTTCTTGTTTGTCACTGTGTCCATGTTCGCAGCCATTTTTGCGTTCTCGTCAGCTATTTGGTTGCCCTGTATATTTTTGTGTGATGGCACCCATATTATGGTTACTTCTTTATTTTGGAGTGCAAGGCTATGTATTTCCATTTTTATAATATTGACCAGTGGATTATTGTTATATATTTTTGTGATCAGTGTAACTGAGTTAAGGGAGTCGGTAATGATGACCCACTTCCGACTGGAGCTTAGTTTGATGTATTGCATAGCTTCTCTAATTGCATACAATTCGCCAGTTAGTATTGAGGCTGTTTCGGGTAGCTTGAATTTCATTGGACCTGAAGGAGTAACTACAGCGGCTCCTATGTTTTGTCCAATCTTCGAGGCATCTGTGTATAATTGTTGAGCTTCTGTAAATTCTCCAATAATACTTCGGAAATGTTGATTTACTACTTCGTTTGGTGTATTGGTTTTGTCGAATTTTGTAAGAGTTGTGATACTGGCTGGCTTGTATAGTGTCCATGGTGGAATAGTTACTGGGAAGATGGGAAGTGTGGATGGTGGATTTTGTATGTTGAGTTTTCTTAGGTAAATTTTAATTCTATTCTGAAAAGGGGTACCCCACAGCGTATCTCTATAATTTCTTTTAGTGGATAGATATTTTTGAGCCGACATATTAAGATTGCTGATTTTCTTGTTGAAGTAGGAAAGACTTAGTATCTGACGTCTGGTATGTAGTGGCGCTTCTCCCGATTCGCAGTACAGGCTATCGACTGGAGTTGTTCTGTATGCTCCCAGGATCAATCGCAAGGCGGTGTTGTGTAAAACATCTAGGGGTTTTAGAGTTGAGGGCTTAGCTGAGTTGTAAGCAACACATCCGTAATCCATTTTTGATCTTATTAATGCTCTATAAATCATAAGTAGCAATTTACCTTCTGCGCCCCAATGTCTATTAGATAAATATCTTAACATATTCATTCCTGCCTGGCATGATTTAATCACATTTGCGATGTGTTTCTTCCAGTTTAATCTGTTATCGAAGGTTACCCCAAGAAATTTGATTTCACTGGTATATTCCAAGGATTTCTTGCATAACTTCAATGGGGGTTCTTCGTGAATCGGTTTTCTAGAGAATATAATGCATTTGGTTTTCTCTGGGGAAAACACAAATCCTGTTTGATTGGACCAGTAATCAAGCTTGTCAAGATACTTTTGCAGTAGTGTTATATTTGTTGTTAAGTTCTTGCCTCTGACATAAACAATCATATCATCTGCGTACAGACGTGCTTGCAAAGGTTTCTCAATATCTTGTAACACATCATTGATTGCTATTAGGAAAAGGGTTGGACTAATAACAGAGCCTTGAGGTAATCCGTTCGTTTGCTGTTTTGGTTCTGATAGCACTCCATTTGACCGTACTTGAAAGATTCTGTTTTGTAGGAAGTTAGAGACAAAGGATAATATGTTACCATTGTACCCCCATTTATGAAGTTTCGAGATGATATTGTATTTCCAGGTAGTATCGAATGCTTTATTAATGTCGAAATAGATTGCTACACAGTGTTGGCTGTCCGAGAAGGCTTCGTGTATATGGGTTTCCAAATCTATTATGTTGTCTGTGGTGCTTCTGTTTGATCTGAATCCAGCTTGTTCAGATATTAGCAGGTTCCTGTGTTCTAAGCTCCATAACAGTCTTCGATTTACTATCTTTTCAAGCAGCTTACACATACAACAGGTTAAAGATATCGGTCTATATGATTCAGGGAGTTGTGGAGATTTGTTAGGCTTGAGCACGGGAATAGTTATGGCTTGTCTCCAGACCTCAGGGAATACATGGTTGGTCCAAATATTATTGAATAAATCTAGTAAAAGTTTCCTAGCAGACAACGGAAGATGTTTCAAAAATATGGCTGGTATGTCATCGGGACCGGCGGCCGTATCTTTGAGATCGTTTAGTGCTTCTGTAAATTCAGATTCTGATATGGGCGTATTAATTGGTTCACTGTCATCTTCTATTATAATTTGTTTTGATTCTGAAATTGCCTTATAGCTTAGAAATCCGGCCGGATAGTTCTCGACACTATAATGGGATTAGTACGTTTTAGACAATACTTCTGAGATTTGTTGGCTACCTGTAACATTTCGGTTTCCCTCTTTCAGACATTTTATAGCTGAGTAAGTCTTGCCCCCGGATATGTTTTTCACTTTTTTTCCACACCTTTGAAATGGGTGTTTCGCTAGTAATGCTACTGACGTATGATTGCCATGATAATTTTTGGCTTTTTCTTGTTGTGAGCTTCAAATAAGCCTGTCTGCTGCGTAACTCCATCAACGTGTTGATATTTTTATGCCTCTTGTGTCTGTTGATAGCTCGTTTACTGGATTGAAGTGCTGCTTCGCATTCATTGTTCCACCAAGGGACTGGATTTCTTTTCCTGATGTGGTTAGTTTTCCCCATACTGCGATGTGCGGCATCTGTGATGACCTTGCTGAATTGTTCAATTATGGAATTAATGTCATCCTCGGGGAATATTTCTTGTCTTGGATTATTTTCTATATGAGTCGCAAATTGGTTCCAGTCTGCATTTTGCAATCTCCATTTAAGGGGTGGCATTGTCTCATTGTTATTGCAGAACTTTGAGTTAGTAATAACTATTGGAAAATGGTCACTTCCATATAAGTCTTCTTGTGTATTCCATTGTAGGTGGCTAAGGAGCCTGGGAGAACATATGCTAAGATCGATAGCGGAGAATCTGCCCGTAGTAGCATCAAATCTGGTACTATTGCCGTCATTCAGTAAAGCTAAGCCAAATGAATCTAGTAGGTCGTTTACTAGGTTTCCCCTTGAGTCATTTTTGAATGAGCCCCATGTGTAGTTATGTGCATTGAAGTCACCTAGAACTATCCTTGTGGAAGGTATTTGTTGCAAAAGTGATTCTAGTTCTTGGTCATCTATGTGGTAATTCGGAGGAATGTATACGTTACAGATAGTTAGCTTTTCAGGAGCATCCAAAGTTACTGCAATCGCTTCCAGATTGGTGGTAAGATTAAGTGGGTTAGCAGGAGTGTCGCAACTTACGTAAATAGCTACTCCTCCACTGGCTGTTGCACTATTGCGATTTTTGAAAAATCCATTATATCCTTTAGGTGAATTTGTTTTAGATTCATGGAAGTGAGTTTCCTGAAGACCTATGATATCAGGTGCAAAGTCAGATTTAAGTTTACGTAGCATGTTTAAGCGTGGGTAGTAACCATTTAGATTCCACTGCAATATGGATTTGAACGCCATTGTAAATTATTAAAAGAAACTAGAATCTACAGAAGAGGTTTCGCTGTCGATATTGTCATTTTCGATGTGCCGTTCTAGTTTTTTGCGCAACCTGGTTAACCTGTTCTTCAGGGCTCGGTCCGATAAATGAGGGTATATGAGCAGTATTGTTTCAATCAAGCTTTTTATATCTACGGTGTATTCGTTTACTACTGATATAACGTTCTGGGTTCCGTGCACATTTTCTAAGAGACTTTTCATCTGGATAGAATTTAATACTAAAAGGTCTTGGTTTGTGTCTATAAAACGTTTGGCTGGTTCGTAGGCTTGATCTGAAATAACTGCTTGCTGGGAGTCTATTTTTGGTTTTTTCACTGATGCTTTAGCTGGCTTTATAAAGGTCGGTCCGGAGGTTGGAGTTGATGAGGTTTCAACATCTGATGTTGGGGTAACAATTGTTGAAAAACTTCTTTTGCCTGTGTTGCTGGCATCGTCGGTGGTTGCTACGGATGGAGTAGGTGGCATTTCTATGTTAAGTTCTTTGCTTTGACTCAATATTGGTTGTGGAGTGGATATGGTCTGTCTGTTAGGAGATTCTTCAATTAAGATTGGCAGTTGTGTCTGTCGAACTTCGGCTGCCTGTGTGATAGTGGGTTCCAGTTGAATACTGCTAGACATGTTATTATTGGGTTTTACTGAGGATGAGGGAAGGACGGTATCATCCATGTTTGAGGTCGATGGTTGGGATGTAGATCTGCAATTGTTGGCTATGTGTCCTGATTGGTTGCACTTGAAACATTTTTGGCTGTCCAATGATAAGAATATGCGATATGACAACCCTTCATGACTAATCACCAAGGATTCTGGTATGGTACTTTCGGTGGGAGCTATGTATACTTGACGTCTGAAGCTGAGTATATGACTATACTCTGGAATAGTGGCCCCAATCCTTAGGAATGACATGGGAGATTGTAACTGGAGACCTAACTGCTCCAAGCAGTTTTGAATAATATTGTGTGGAATAGTAGGGGACACATTTGATATGACCAAACGATCCGATGGTGTGACTAATCTCCTCGCCTTAATAGTTTCACCATGAACAACGATTTTCCCATGGTTGTCCAAAAATGCATCGACTGCGTTTTTGCTGGATAAGTAAACACATATTCTGTTATTTGCTACTCTAGAACAGAATATGATATTTTTTTGGCTCAACTAGAGGACCTAATTCGATGATATAATCTTGTATTCGGGCTCCATCTATTGTATTAAATATTATAGCCTGCCCCTTGTTAGGGTATTTGGATATCTGGCGGTTGAGAGCTCGGGAGTAATTTAGTGGTGAGTTGCTGTTTTGAGTTTCTGTAGGAATATTAACGCCTTCCATATTGTTAGTATACGTATTCTTCTGACTCAAACCTTCCTTGCACCATTTCCAGTATGGACCTGTCCCCGACTGTGAACAGACGTGGAATTCCTTGGAATTTCGTAGCAAACGGATGGTTCTAGTTTGTAGCGATTTGTTTATGCACGTACTTTATGTTGAAAACAAATTATTTCAGGATTCTGTAATGCAGTACTTACAGTCTGATGCTAGCTGTTAATGTCTACGTAGAAATCGAAACGAAAAATTAACTAAATTCACTATAAAATCCTATAGATTTACGGAGCACAGATCAGTAGCTGCTGAGCTAAACTGGGCAGGTACGGACTCCTCCTGCGAAAAGTTGGATATGTGAATTATCAAGAATCTTATTCAAGTCAAAATTATATATCAGAAATAATAACGGTCCTAACAGAGAGCCTTGGGGCATGCATGAAGGAATCGTCACAGGAGAAATGTTGTGCTCAATGCAAACATATTGGGTCCTTTGATCAAGGTAACTCCTGAAACATGAAAGATCTAAGCTATCAATACCTATGTAATTTAATTCAGATATCATTACTTCAGGATTGATACTCTCGCGAAACCTGTAGATATTAGCGTTAAAGCAATTTTCTTATTGTAGTTTCCTAAAATATTATCTTGCAAATTGAAAAGCGCTGATGTTGTAGTATAATTTTGTCTAAAGTCAGATTGGGTATCCGGATTTATTGAGTATTTTTAGAAATTAATGGTTAGTTGCAATTTTACCAGCTTCTCCAGTATTTTAGACAGAATTGGTAGTAAACTGGTCCAAGGTAGTTGAATTTAGCGGGTTTAAGCTTTTTGGGATTGATACAGTCAAGACTTGTTCATGCTTTTAGCGAGTTCCTCCATTCTGAACAACCATGAATGATGTACATGATGTGAAAGAGTGCAACCGGTAACTACAATCGGATCATGGACCGAGATAGACCGTCAATTCCCTTTGCATCCGACTTTAGTGACTTTACCGCTTGTCATACGATACTGGAGTGCATTTTGCTCAACCAAACATTCAGTTCTGGATGTAACTATTTTTGGAGTAATATTAGGTAACAGATTCACAGACTGACTCTTATACACAGACTCATTATATTATAATAATCATTAGTTTCTATCGGGTGATTGAGAATAGCTGGTAGGTTTGGTTTATAACGGAAATTTATATGTAGTCATGTAAGGTACTCCCGAATTTCTTTTTTTGATCATTTTGGTTAGCTAAATTTTCTATATAGGCCTTTGTCTCCCTCCCACTCACTTTTAAGACCCAATTAGTTCATGTTATCAAGTTCATGTATCCATAGCTTCCGACATAATTACTATATATTCTCTAAGACTATTTCATTTTATGCAATGATTTCCACAAGAAATTTTAGGTGATCCAATTGATGCGCATATACCATGGTTTCGCGTAAAAGTTATAAGATGGCGACTGGATGCGTCATGCTATATCACATAATCAGGTGGACACTTTCAAAGGAAAAAGATTGATATAACCTACTATAATGTTTGATAAACAGTTGTTGAGTTATAAACAATTGAATCTACAGAAGCGCTTAACTTTCACAGCCCTCGGTCCACCGTTAGGAAATACAATAAATTTGTATTTTTAGGTTGAAAGGTGGTGTCTAGGAGGTATCGTATGTGCAAGATGAAGAAGATAATATATTTTGGCGACACTGCGGAATACACAGCGTAACAAATTGATACCTACTCGCCAGTTTTGAAGCCTAGTTTCACCTTATCAGCATCATTTTCACCAATTTCCAGCGTTAGGCATGGATTGATTGGAAAAATGGGATTTCCAGCTGCTACGTGTCCCATCCATTCTCCAGCATACTGTTAATAAGAAAAACAAATTCAAAATAAGCCGCCAATTTAGCGTTAAAACATATGTATATTATCTATCGTAAGATGTGTTAAAAAAACAAAATATATTCCTAAGCAATATCTGTAATATAGGGATCTCGGAAACTGTAAGAGATACGAAGTCTCTCAAATAAAGACAAAGTTGTAAGAGATAATCATCAAAATACCAGTTCGAAAGTTTCAAAATTCAAAGTACTTTCGGAGAGAGAGAGGGAAAACGAATTATTCCAAAATTATTCCTTACTTTAGTTGTAGTGGGGTTTCAAAATAAATTGCACATTTGCATTGTAATTTTTTCTCCTCTACCAGATGGCATTATTGAAATTTCTATGTAGCGTTTTGTCACTTGTCCTTCAGCAACGTTATCTTTTATTATGGATACCATATTGGACTTTTGCACGGATCAATAGAGTTTCTCAATTCTTACTTCAAAAATTTATTCATTGATGTTGCCAAACCTCAGTTATTTAAAAAATAATAATTTTCTAGGTAGTTCTTGAAATTACCTGATAATAATTTGTTTCGCATACCAGATTTATCCCAAAATCACATTTTTTGTTCCTGCCTTCATATGAAAAGCGATTCGAAAATAAGTTGCATGTTGCGAGTAAAATTGCTTTTCTCGTCTATAAGATGACATAATTAGAATTTCAATATGATTTTTCGTCTTTTGTCCTCCAGCATCAACTTTATTATCAATTAATAGACTTTCTAATTCTGATTTCAAAAAAATGTCATATCATACATTGACATTGTCAAACCTTAGTTACGAGTATTCCAGAAAACCAGAAGTTCCTAGGTAGGCCTAGAAATTACCAGACTTGATATACTACGTATACTAGGCCAGACCTTCAGTTGAACAATGTAAATTTGCTTATTTATCATTATGACTGTTGTTATCATCAATAAAAAGGTTCATTTGAATATGCAAAATTCCATTATCTGTAGAGCGTCCATATGAAAAAACAAAGGAGTCGAAAGAGGGAATTGAAAATTTAACTATGCCATCTTGAAGAGGAGAATAAGTAACCATGACAACATGCAATTTATTTTGAAATCTCGTCTCAAATAAGGTCAGGAAAAATTATTTTGGGATAAATCTGATATACGAAACAAATGGATATCTGATTATTTCAAGGCCTACCTAGGCGATTCTGCTTTTTTAAGTAGCTAAGGTTTAGCAATTTCAATGTATGAAGTATACATACATTTTTGGAATCAGAATTAAAAGCTCTATTCATATGTGTAAGTATTCAATATGGCATCCATAAGAAAGTGTTAGTTGATGCTGGAGGACAAGAGACGAAACGTCATTTTGAAATTCTAATTATGCCGTATTGTAGAGGAGAGAGAGAGGCAATGTTAATGGCTTTGCCCCAATTTAAGCGACTTCGTATCTCTTACAGCTTCCGAGATCCCAAGGGTGAGAATCGCTCTGCTTACGTGAAGTGTGATCTTTATTTCAAGTAAGCAGATTTGCTTCGGAAAAAGCTAGAAATTTCGCAGACATACAGGTTTTGCCAATAGTGGACGAATTAAAAGTATGTATGTAGATAGCAATAGCAATTTGTTGTAAATACCATACTGGTATTTGACAATTACCGAAAGCTGTTCACATCTTAGCATGCTAGTGAATAAGAAGTTTATGTCTCGTATAAATCTATCAGTTGTTTTTTCTATACGTACAGTGTATTAAAAGGAACATCAGTTAACTGTGTTGGGCTATCTATCATAAAATATCCAAAACAGTAGAACATAATTTTCATGCAGAAAATAATAAGGGTACTTGTAGCTGAACGTCAAAATTCCAAAAATCAACATTGTATGATGACTCTAAAATGTTAGAAGCTGATTGAAACGAGAATCAAATATGTAGTTTTATCCACTAAATAATTTACCCCAACTAGTCGTATTGAAAAGGATAGTGGAGGTTCGATTGGCGTAAAAATACAAAAACCTATAGGCCCAGATCCTTTAAATGGATTTTTGAGATTAGATCAGCTTAGCTATTAATTTTTGTATGCCTTTTGATTTTCAATCGATTTTAATTTTTTTAACAGCTGGTCTTCAAACTGACAAAAAACGTACAGGTGAACCTACGTGTTTTAGAGCATCGCTACAGAGACTGAACTTCATTTCTTTACCTAACCTAATTTACTTGAGTGATTTGAATGAAGCTCTGTAGGTTGACGGTAGATAATAGTTACTGGCTGTATGCGACTTAGCTCGACAGGTTTTAAGGGAGTATCTCGGGGTTTAACTAAGCACGCCTTTGGTTCCCTTGCCAGTGCGTTCCAGCGACTTCCAGATGAAAAGGTTTTATCCTGCTTGAATACAAGTTAGTTAAGGGTTTGTAACTGGAAAAACTGACCAAATAATAAAACTCCCAGAATTAAACAGTAATGTGGGGATCGCTCTATACCTACTCGTCAGGACGCGAGAAATGCAGCAACCCCCACAGCTTTTAAATGAAGCACATTTACTATATAAATACTGGAGCGTATTCGACTTAATTTTTTTCTCTAAGTTTCACATTCGGTTGACTTGTATTTGTACAGACTCTGTAGTTGTCTATTTATGTGCAAGAATAATTTTTTGTTAGTTTTAAGGTCGGTCCCTTGATCATACCCACAAAGAAACCAGTCTTAAATGCCGGAACGGTCAAAATTTAATAGCGCCGCCAATAGAATAACTCACTAAGATATAAACAATACAAACATAGTCCCTTAATACATATAGTCGATTCACAGAGTTTCATATAACTAACTGGAGTAATATATCAGAAATTGAAAATGACAACATTAGTAGATATGGAACCGATCACCCTGTGTCTCAGTAAGGAAGCACAAACTAACATTTTGTTCAGTTTAATGAGTTATATCAGCTAATGTATTATGAGCCGAGGTTACCGTATACGTATATAAACTAAATTAAAAAACTGAAAACAATCCACAAAACCAATACTTGCAATAAATTGGCAGGTAAACTTCTTGGTACATGGTATTTTAAGTGCAAACCACTAAAAATCTCAAAAATTTATAAATAAAACCCGAGATTTAAACTTAAGAGCACTCCACTTACAGTTGTACTCAGATTATATAAACTTAAGTATATGACCTAGCAGTCTTGAGCACTGCAAACAGAAGCACGGTGGAAGGTTAAGACTAGGCTACATGCTCACCTGTTTCCTGTCAAGATCAGCTAGTGCAGTTGGGTTCTCGCAGGCACCCAATACTGCAACAATGATTGCTGAGAATAATATTATAGTCTTGAACATGTTGGCGGATTTAGTTTCACAGACTAATTACCAGTCCGGAGCTAGGATCATGGTTTTATATATACCGCCGTAGAAGATGATAATAAGCTGATATCTGGACTGAAAATGGTTATTTACACGATTTCAGTTTTTAATTTTTAAATAAATAAAAATACACCATAGCAACTTTAGACAAAGGTCATCACAACATGATCATAGAATTAGTCATGGATTAAAAACAAGATATTATAATAATAAACGTACCGTGGTTATTGCTCGAATTTATATTGTAGAACCTTTGCGAATATCTTTATAGGTGAAACCTTAGATTAGACCACCGTATTCCTGAAAAAATGTAATTGCCAATAAAAATTCGTGCCCCCATGTGCTGCCAAGTACTTTGAGTATTGTAGTAAACACACAAGCTTGTATACGATGTCCCAACCGTGCGTCTGAATAAAATATTTTCATAGAAAACTAATAATGGGTTGTATATGGTACCAGCAGAGGGTACGTCTCAAAGTTGATTTTTATTTTCAAAAGAAATGGCCTTATTTATATTCCACATATGTTCATACGAGTATAAAAAATCGCCAAAGTCTTGGTAGCCTGCGTATCTTGACAGTTAACAATTTTTTAGTATACTGAATTCTCTCCTAGTTCGTACATTTTTCTAAGTTTTTGAATGTTGAGTATAAGGTGGTCAAAAACGCAAAGCGTACTTGATCTGAAAAAAAAAATCAGTGGGGCTGTCTGATTATCTTAGCATTTCTACATTGCACCTTTTCCCAGGCTTTTCCCTGACCTCAATTGTGCTCGTGTATGAAGTATTTAAGTTAAAGTTGAAGTTTTGAATTGTTCGCATAAGTAAATTGCATATAATAACTAACAAAAATCGTATTATCTGTAAAAACAAAAGAAAAATAGCAAACCTATACCCAAAACTAAGCATTCTTAATTCGTTGAAGCTAAACTTATTTCATGGATTCAAAGCACGTTCATGTAATTGTAAGACATTTAAAGGTGGATCCCTTAACAAGAACGACATGTAATGCTTATTTTACTAACGGGATCAAAAGTACAGCTAAAATTTTGAGGTGGACTTCCAAGGTCACGGCCAAGGTACATATCACATCCAAGGTAGCTAAGGTAAAGTTCTACAACTTCTATTTGAAGCGTTCTTTCCTAAAATGCCTTCCCAAAGAGTTATCGAGCCGTTCCGGCACTTCTGCCATACCCTGCATATTTTACGAGGTATGTAAATTAAGTGATGAAACTGATTTTTTGAAAATTTCTTATTCAAATATGATTACAAGTTTATATCCTAACTTCCTTCTAAAACCACATACTGCTGGAGATGGTTCTTCCACTCCTTATAGCAGTGCTGGAACTCCGATTCTGGAATAGCATTCAGCTGGTCGTTTGAATGTTTTCGACTGTTCCAAAATGAGTTCCCTGGAGGTGAGTTTCAACTTCTGGAAAAAAGTCACAAGGCCTCAGGTCAGGCGAATTAGTAGGCTGAGGAGCCACATGAATGTTTCTACCCGCTTATTGGCCTTGCTGCGTAACAAGGAGCCGTATCGTGGTGTAACACCTAGTTGTTCTTGACCTGATGAACGATGGTGTCCGTCAAACCTAATTCTTCCCCGGTCAATCAGACTGTCAACCGACAATTTGAACGAACACGATCCCGAACCCTGTCAATATTTTAATCAGTTCTTCAAGATGAAGGCTTCTTGGTCCATCTCCAGTCGGCTCTATCCCTTCCCCGTAGGAATGCTGAAAATTAACAAGAATTTCCGCTCACTGTGCCCAAGTCTGAAGCGAAAGTTGATAGCACACCGTTGCTCGAAATTAATGTTACTCATTTTTAGAACACAATAGGAAAAACTGTTTCACAAAAAAATCCCTACGGACAACCAAATGGCTCGAACGAGTTCAAACTAGTACTGAAGGCGGATCACATACCCTCCTGTCCCTTCTTCAAGCTTGGCGCCTCTCAGAGGTGCCAAAGCGAATGCTACGTTGCTAGTTCCATTACTTAATTTCCAGACCTCGTATGTTGAATCAAGGCAAAAATAAATTAAATTATAAAAGGGCAGACGAAGAAGCAGTTCTCCTCGGTGATTTCAATACCCATAATCATATTTGGTTGTGCTCAAACAGTATCGAAGCACGTCGTGCAGTTGAAGGGATCACTGTTGCTCAAGGGCTGACCCAGCTGGTGACGAGGCCTACTCTTGCCGCCGCGTTTCGTCATATGCCAGTAGCCTGCTTGTACTCTTTCTGATCACGTATCCTGTCCCTTGCAGTACTGCTGTTCTGTTTCCCCTGGGTAACTCAAACCACGATGTTGCGGAGGTTAGGATTCGGTCAGAAGCCGCTGTGGTATCAGAAACTCGCCCAGGCCGCAAAATTTGACATTACGAACATGCCGACTGGGAGAGGCTCGGAAACTCCTCCACCTTACTTCGGAGTGACGTTTATTTCTCTGACGCATATGCGTTGGCTGTCTGTTTATCGATAACCGAAATTACCTACGTTGAGATGGAGAAATACATCGCTCATAGAGTAAAAGTGCCTGAACCAGGGTCCAACGGCTGGTTCAACAAATCAGGCTACACTGCTCGTCAGCAGAAAATCAAAGTACACAGAACCTTTTAATAAAGCCCCACTGAAGAGAACAGACGAGCCAAAGTCCAGAAGCAAATATAATAAAGCGGCCCGCAATGCAGAGCAATGACAGTCATTTTTTCTGGACACCAAGCAGATTGGAAGTAACTTCTCACAGATAGCCTTCCACCGCTTACGTGTCAGGATGGACATTACCATAACGTCCTCGAGTTCGTGGGCGAGGAGGTATTTCCTGTACACGACAGTGTGGAGTGGGCAACGGATGCTCTGCCCTCCAGGGGAGCAGAGGGACAGCTAATCGGGCTCTGGTAAAACCCCGGATCCAAGGTGTGAGGCTCCGTGCTGAGGGATGAATGGTGTCGGGGGCAATCGGCATCGTGAACGAACCCTCCGGAACACCGGGCCGAATTCCGGAGTAAGTTTGACGTTTGGCCGTCATATCCATCATAGCAGGGAGAAGAATCGCATCTCTGGGGATTCAGAGGATGATACTCTGACAGAGGCTCCTCAGGGCGAGCTGACCCCTGCTAACAGGAGTCTAGAAATGACTTCACTGTCTGTCATCTCTAAACAGGAGAGGGAACTACTGAACCCCCCTCTGCCAGAGGTGGCAGGCTAAAAATCCTTGGAAAAGGTTCCCTGGTGCAAGGAGAAGACGCCTGACAGCGCTTTTCAAAAGCGGCATGCCATACGCGGCGACGCTTGCGAAAATCCTGGGGGAATCAGCGAATGACAAGGGGAAAAAGTGCAACTGCAGCAGGTAGGAACGGAGAGGGCGTGAAGTCGTCCCCATTGCTGGCCGCAGCAAGCGGCCCCATTCGGAAAGTAGCGCTCCCGAACAGGTACCGAAAAAGCTGAGAAGTGATGGGCAGGTTACGACGTATGGAGAGATTGCGGGGAGCATCCTTCGGTCGTCTTTACCAAGGAGCAATTGTTTGCCATTCAGAAGGCGATATTGGTAGCTGTGTCTCGCATTAGAGACAGGAACACACAGGTGAGGTTCCAGGACTGTGCCCACAGATCTGGATGGCTACAAATCACCTGTCTGGACAAATAAAGCATGAACTGGCTTGAAGCTGCGGCAAAGCACCTCCAGCCTTGGGAAGGCGCCACGGTCAAGTCTGTCAAGGGGGTAATCTTCCTAAACCCCATACATGCGTAGCATATCTTCTGGACGAAGTTTCAGGGGAGCGACTCGATAGGGAGGATGTGCTGCGAATACTGCGGAATATGATCATGCAGGAAAGGAGGTCGCTGATGTGTAAGAGGAACAGTGTCGGAGCCAAGACAGATCCCTGGGGAACACCCGCATTGACATTGTGGGATGAAGAGGAGAACCAGTTAATTACGACGGATATGTTGCGGCCAGAGATAAAGTCAGCCACGTATCTGCAAAGATTTTCTGGGAAGTCATAGAAGGGAAGTTTGCGTGCCACAGCTGATCGAACGCTTTCGTGATGTCAAGAGCAACGACATGATCCTCACCATAAGAGTTTACTCCACAATTGGTTGACGTAATTAGGAGGTCCCCTGTGGATCGCTGTTGCCGAAAACCATACTGCTTGTCGCTAGTCAAGCTGTAACGTTCGAGGTAGTCCAGAAGCTCGCGATTTATGGACCTCTCTATCACCTTACTTATGACAGAAAGCAGAGCTATAGGCCTGCAGTTGTGAGGGTTGTTCTTAGATCTTTTTTTGGGATGGGTTGGACAAAAGCAAACTTCCAGTTTTCTGGGACGGTGCCGAATTCATAAGATATCTGGAAGAGACGCGAAAAAACTGAAGCAAGCTCCACTGCACACTCTTCAGCACAATGACAGGAATCAAGTCCGGGCCAGAAACTTTGTTGATGTCGAGCAACAAGAACACTCGTCTTACTGTCTTATGTCTGACTGTTACCTCAAGCATAGTGTAGGGAACCTTTTGGATTGACGGCACTTGGTCTTTGGGTTGGGGGGGACGTCCATGGTGGAGTTGGCAGAAAAAGATCTTAGCAAGCACTTTTAACTTGGCCTTTGAGTCGGATACAATCGTTCCATCCTAACACGTAAGTGGTGGAAGGCTACTGTGTGAGAAGATATTTTCAATCTGCTTGGCCAACGTCCAAAAAGACCGATTGTCATTGCGCTGCGACACTACCCTCTGCCTGACTTTTATATCGTGCTGGTTTTTGGCATTGCAAACCGCTTCTTTATATTGTTTCTGGACTCGACGTCGGCTTGTCTGTTCTCTACATTGGGGTTTTGTAAGAAGGTTCTGTGTGCCTTAGACCCTGATTCAGGCACTTTAGCTGTGTGAGGGATGTATTCCTCCATTCCGACGTGAATGATTTCGTTTATCGAAGAACAGACAGCCGACTCATCCGCGTCAGTGATACAGACATCTCTCTAAGGAAAGGTGGAGAAGGAGTCTCTGAGCCCCTCCCAGTCGGCATGTCCGTAATGCCAAGTTTTGTGGCCTGTACAAGTTTTTGCTGCCACAGAGGGTTCTGACCGAAACCTAACCTCCACAACACCGTGGTCTGAGTTACCCAGTGGGGACAGGACAGCAGCGCTGTAAGGGACAGGATGCGTGGTCAGAACGAGATCCAGCAGGCTGCTGGCATGTGGCTGGGTCAGCCGCTGAGTAAGAGAGAACTCTTCGACTGCACGACCTGCTGCATCGGTTTTGTTTGAGCCCAACCCAAGCTCATTATGATTGATGTTCAGGAAGTCGATGTTGACGGCGAGGTATTCAAGGAGGTCGTCCCAGTTATGGTCAGAGGGAGGGCGATAAAGGCAGCAAATAAATTTGGATGATATTTTGGAGCTGAAGCGAAGCCACAGAATTTCCTTCCGGTCTGATCCCAAAGAAACATCTCTGGAGCAGGAAATACTGCTGCGGAAAAGAACCGCAAGTCCCCCGTTCTTTCTCAGATTGGAGTGCACCTCGTAATTTGGGAGGCTAAGATGGTTAATCAATGCATCAATGTTGCTGTTAACCCGCAGATGTTCGTAAAACAAATTTTATCTTTGTTGTTGTTTCCTCGAGCCCACCCTCCATCCGGACATTCCAAGAGTGGAGTGAGTTCACGTCCGGAATTCTTAGTGCTGAAGGATCCATCATAATTAATTTCTTCGTTTTGGAAGATAACCGACTGCATTTAATGATATTACATAGACCTAATGTGGCCCGTTGGCGGACTTGTACTGCTACCCGACAATCGGTACTGAGATATTCCTTAACGCGTGTACAATCGCTTGAACGGAAAGAAGTTGTATACTGAATAAAACAATTTCCGGAACAAGCGTTTGCCACGGCACCGCTCAATAGGGGGTATTTTTTTAATTACGTGCCATGTGGATAAAATGTAAGGGATTGGAGTTTAATGAAAAATCATATTTAAAGTTCATGACTGTCTATTTTGGAAATCGGAATATAAAGGCAGTATGAAATACGTATTGTAGAGATAAGATTAGTGCCACCGCTAAATAAATCAAATAATAAATATGAGGAAGGCATTTATTTGATTTTATATTTCTTCGATTTCCTTACTAATACTACTACTGCTACTACTACTACTATCGGAAGTAAAACGAATCTTAGCACTTGCTCTGATCCGACTCTGTTCGCGGGCTGAGAGGTTTGGACAGCAATTTCTGTGCAGCAGCCAACTTTTCTTCCAATAGTGTAGCATCAGGCGTCCTAGACCTCATATGAACTGCAATATTGCCTGAAAAGGAGTATACTGGTTAAAAAAACAAAAAGACAGGCGTACATTATTTTCATCGAAACGCGACTAGTCAAAATTTGTTATTACTTCCATAACTGCAGATCACTTTTGCCATTTGGATGTAAGTCGCATTGAGATAATCTGTTAAGTTTTCGAGGATACTAGATTGAACGGCTTCATTATAGTATTCTATTCTCTTAGTGTGTAATGATTTCATTATAATTTTAAGGCTACACAGTTGATTATCAGTAATGCAAAGAGAAAATTCCTTTACAAGAGGTACGTAAATAACGGCTAGCAAGCCTAACAGAGACCTGACTAACTTTAATTATCCAAAACGTCTATTACATATTAGGTTGCTCATGCCACTTTTGTCTTGCTTATGAATGCAGGGTGTTCATCTAAAATTCCTTAAATTGTATGTACAGGGAAATACGATGGCAAGTAGTACCATCCACGTATGTATAAGTTCGACAAAAAGAATGGAGAGAAAAATGACTGTGACATTCAATTCTCAATAATTCTTGAATACTTGTGTTTTATAGGGCTTTTGGACAAGTCTTAGTTGATATGAAACTCACCATTTCCAGTATCTTCGTCGCACATATATATGACTGCATGAGTTTTATAATCTGTGGCCAAGACTTTATATATCAGTTCTGAAAAACAAATAGAAGAATTATCCACTAATAATATTGTATCTGACACTAACGATAACAATTAAGTCTCAACCTTTTTTATGATTGCATCAAATTATTGCAACATGGCTATGATAAAACTTACTTTTTCCGCCAAAAACGGTTTTGAAATCTCCTCCTGAGGAGCTGACTACTACCCCATCGATGACGGCCTTACCTCTGCAACAACAAAGTGGTTAATTTACAAATATAAAAAATAGCTGCTGGCTTTCTGAGCATTTTATACCACATATATGGCTTTTAAGAGGCTTCTACCTTTTTTCTAAAATGACGTTGTTTCCATGAAGTATGATGACTTATGGCACTGCTGTGTTCGATTGCAGTTGATAGAAAATCCTGGTATGGATTTTGTGTTGTAAATTGACCATTTTGTCAACTTGATAACATTCATAACATTAGGAAGGATTTTTTAAGAGAAACTTGATATCCTCTAATTTAAATTCCAATTTCCACGCGAAATGAAAAACTAACTTGAAAATCGCATGCAAGATCATCCTGCATTTACTTTTTGAAATATTTCATAATAATAATAAAAATAATAATAATAATAATAATAATAATGATAATAATAATAATAGTAATAATAATAGTAATAGTAATAATAATAACCCTTGTAGGGTTTCTGGTCTCCCATAGGGCGACTCCCCAGGCGGTGGATAGGGGAACGCTTCCTAGAAATGGGAAGCACCTTGGTAACAAGGGGAGAACCAAAAACCAGCAGAGGTATGTCTGTCACCATGTTAGGTGCGGTACCTCGACAGCGTCTGCTCCCCATGTTAGGGGCGGCTGGTAGTGAGGCTGTCGGAGGCTTGCTTGGCAGAGATCTAAACTGCTACCCTGAAAGGTGAAGTGATGAATCAAACAGAAAATGAAACTCATCTAGGGTGGCCGGGGCGGCAGGACCCGGATCGGAACCGTCGGGAAAACATACCTGCGAACGACCAAAGCAATGGAATCGGAAATGACACGGATGCACCAGCTACAAATGCTCCTAGATATCAGAGTATCAACCATACCCAGACCTCTTCTGAATCTGGCCTACCTGATAACATAGCATCTACGTCTACTGTCAAAGAAAGAAAGCAAAGGCAGCAGTGGACTAAGGAGCAGTATAAGGATATAATGTGGTGCTTCTACTATGCAGATTATACTAAACTGGAAAGTGGAATTATCAAGGGTACATATTCAATATGGAAACGCAGGAATCCAGATATACTCCCTAACATCAATCCAAATACTCTCGCCAATCAACGTCGCTATATTCTAAGGGAAAGAAAGTTGACCGAGACAGAACTTGAACGAATAAAGGAATGTGTTCATGAAGAGCTTAGAATACATACAGACGCTCAAACACCACAAAGAGAGATAAAATCGAACAGAGCTCTACAGAACAACTAGCACCAATTCAATCAAACAACGAAGATGACAGTGAATCGGCGGAAATAATAATAAAGATTGACTCAATTAAGGACCTTGAATTTGATCAACGGAACAGACTCCTGCGCGTTGGTCTAATCCCGACATTGAAGCATGAAATATCAGTAGCTAACAAGGCGCTAAAGATGATATTAACGTACAAGAGAAGATGCCCAACCTAACCGATATCAACAGACTCATGTATTCCACCGCAAGTGTCCTAGCTGGCGAACTAAAGACAAGGCAGAGGGCAGACATGAATACAGTGGAGTGCCTATGGAAGAGACGAATAAAAAATTCTATAGAGTCATATCGAAAGGACTTGTCTATCATCCATGATTACAAAAAGGTAAGTGCCTCCCAGAAGGTCAGACATAAATTCAACTCATTGAAGAGCGCCTATAAGGGAAATATGAGCCTGCAAGAACTGGAAGCATACATTAAGATGAACATCGCAGCAAAAACACAACGTCTCACCCGGTATACCAAGAGGGTGTAACCATTACCATCAAAACAAAACGTACAACGAAGACAACAAAAAATTCTACAGACAGCTTAACAGCCAAAACAGGGAGATACTGAATCCTCCGCTACAACCTCAAGTTGAAACCTTCTGGAGGGGTATTCTTGAACAGGAAGTTCACCATAAGCCCGACTCATGGATTGAACGTGAGAGGAATGGCTCTGAAAACATTGAGCCCATAACATGGCAGCAGCTTTCGATGGAAGAAATACAACAAGCAGTAAACAAAACGCAGAACTGGAAGTCCCCGGGACCTGACAAATTACCAAACTTTTAGCTCAAACAACTAACAGCGCTGTATGAAGACCTAACTCGAGCGATAAACGAAATACTGGATAACTCTGAGAGTATTCCAAGCTGGCTAACAGCTGGAACAACTTACCTTTTACCGAAAGGGGCAGATACGCAGGACGCTAAGAATTATAGGCCTGTTACATGTTTGCCAACGATGTATAAGCTTATAACATCTGCTTTAGCAGTTCGCATGTACACCCATTTGACTGGAAACAACATACTGCCAGAGGAAAAAAAGGGGTGTCGTAAATCGTCGAGGGGGTGTAAAGATCAGCTGCTGATTAGCAATATGGTGATAACTACAGTAAAAAAACGTATGCGAAATCTTGGAATAGGATGGGTGGACTATCGAAAGGCCTTTGATAGTGTACCACACTCCTGGATCGTTGAGGCGCTGAAGATATACTGCGTGTCATCGTCAATAACTAAATTCGTTGATAGGTCAATGCAAACATGGAGGACTAAAATGGTCTTGTTCCACCGACAAGGCCAAATTGAAACAGGAGAGATAGCAATCAAACGTGGTATTTTCCAGGGCGATTCATTATCGCCATTGTTATTTCCACAAGGCCACCCCGTAGAAATTTGATCCAATTGATGCGTATGTACCATAGTTTCGCGTAAAAGTTACAAGATGGCGACTGGATGCGTCATGCTATATCACACAATCAGGTGAACACTTTCTAAGGAAGAAGATTGATATAACCTACAATAACGTTTGATAAACAGTTGCTGAGTTATAAAGATAGATAAACGATTGAATCTACAGAAGCGCTCAACTTTCAGAGCCCTCGGTCCGCGGTAATGAAATACAGTAAATTTGTATTTTTGGGTTGAAAGGTAGTGACTAGGATGCATCGTATGTGCAAGATGAAGAAGATAATATATTTTGGCGACACTGCGGAATACACAGCATAACAAATTGATACCTACTCGCCAGCTTTGAAGCCTAGTTTCACCTTATCAGCATCATTTTCACCAACTTCTAGCGTTACGCATGGGTTGATTGGAAAAATGGGATTTCCAGCTGCTACGTGTCCCATCCATTCTCCAGCATACTGTTAATAAGAAAAATAAATTTAAAATAAGCATAGTGAGTGATAAGCCGCCAATTTGGCGTCAGAAGATATGTATATTATATTATCTAACGTAAGATGAGTAAAAAACAAAATATATACCTAAGCAAAATCTGTAATATAGAGAGTGTTTCTAAATTCAACTCTCACCATTGGGACCTAGGAAACTGAAAGAGATACGAAGTAGCTCAAATAAAGACAAAGTTGCGTATTTAGGTAATCAACAAAATACCGCTTCGAAAGTTTCAAAGTACGAGAGAGGGAGTAAACGAATTCTTCCAAACTTATTCATGACTTTATTTGTAGTGGGGTTTCAAAATAAATTGCACATGCGCATTGTCAATTGTTCTCCTCTACAAGATGGCATTACTGAAATTTCCATGTTGCGTTTTGTCTCTTGTCCTCTAGCAACGTTATCTTTTCCTATGGATTTTTGCACGGATGAATGGAGTTTCTCAATTCTGACTTCAAAATTATATTCATTTCTCCATTGACGTTGCCAAACCTCAGTTATTTAAAAAAAAACAGAATTTTCTAGGTAGGCCTTGAAATTATCAGATATGATTTACTCCGTACACTAGGCCAGACCTCAAGTTGAACATGACAATGGAGTTTAGAAGTCTGAGGAGGAGAGATAAATTTAGCAGGGAACAATGTACCTTTGCTTAATTATCGCTTTTATTATCATCAATAAAAAAAAGTTCATTTGAATATGCAAAATTCCAATATGTGTAGAGCGTCCATATGAAAAAATAAAGGAGTGGAAAGAGGGAATTTAAAATTTAACTATGCCATCTTGTAGAGGAGAATAAGTAACAATGACAACATGCAATTTATTTTGAAATCTCATCTCAAACAAGGTCAGGAAAAATAATGTTGGGATAAATCTGGTCTACGAAACAAATGGATATCTGATAATTTCAAGGCCTACCTAGACAATTCTGCTTTTTTAAATAGCTAAGGTTTGTCAATGCCAATGTATGACGTATGCATACATTTTTGGAATCAGAATCAAAAACTCTATTGATATGTATAAGTATCCAATATGGCGCCCATAAGAAAGCGTTAAGTTGATGCTGGAGGACAAGAGACGAAACGTCATTTTTAAGTTTCAATTATGCCGTCTTGTAGAGGCGAAAGAGAGGCAATGTTAATGTGCAATTTACGCGACTTTGCCCCCATTTAAGCGACTTCGTATCTCTTACAGCTTCCGAGATCCCAATGGTGAGAAACGCTCTGCATATGTGAAGTATGTTCTTTATTTCACGTAAGCAGATTTGTTTCGGCCATAAGCTAGAAATTTCATAGACATACAGGTTTTGCCAAGCATGTATGTAGACTGCAATAGCAATTAGTTGTAAATACCATACTGGTATTTGACAATTACCGAAAACTGTCCATATCTTAGCATGCTAGAGAATAAGAAGTTTATATCTCGTAAAAACCTGTCAGTTGTTTTTTTATACGTACAGTGTATCAAAAGGAACATCATTTAACTGTGTTGGTCTATCTATCATAAAATATCCAAAACAGTAAAACATAATTTTCAAGCAGAAAATAATAAGGGTACTTGTAGCTGAACGGCAAAATTCCAAAAATCAACAATGTATGATGTTTACTCTAAAACGTTAGAAGCTGATTGAATCAAATATGTAGTTTATCCACTAAATAATTTACCCCAACTAGTCGTATTGAAAACTATAGTGGAGTTTCGATTGGCGTAAAAATACGAAAACCTATAGACCCAGATCCTCTAAATGGATTTTTGAGATTAGATCGGCTTACATATTAATTTTTGTGTGCTTTTTGATTTTCAACTGATTTTAATTTTTTTAACATTAGTTTTCTATGAGTTTACTTATTCAGGTGTATTAAATTACTACCTGGTAGAACTCTTCAAACTGACCAGGTTTTGCCAATAGTGTACGAATTAAAAGTATGTATGTAGGTTGCAATAGCAATTTGTTGTAAATACCATACTGGTATTTGACAATTACCGAAAGCTGTTCACATCTTAGCATGCTAGTGAATAAGAAGTTTATATCTCGTATAAATCTGTCAGTTGTTTTTTTATACGTACAGTGTATCAAAAGGAACATCAGTTAACTGTGTTGGGCTATCTATCATAAAATATCCAAAACAGTAGAACATAATTTTCATGCAGAAAATAATAAGGGTACTTGTAGCTGAACGTCAAAATTACAAAAATCAACAATGTATGATGACTCTAAAATGTTAGAAGCTGATTGAAACATGAATCAAATATGTAGTTTTATCCACTAAATAATTTACCCCAACTAGTCGTATTGAAAAGGATGGTGGAGGTTCGATTGGCGTAAAAATACGAAAACCTATAGACCCAGATCCTCTAAATGGATTTTTGAGATTAGATCAGCTTAGCTATTAATTTTTGTATGCCTTTTGATTTTCAATCGATTTTAATTTTTTTAACATTTCGTTTTCTTGACGGTAGACAATAAATACCGGCTGTATGCGACTCAGATCGGGAGGTTTTAAGAGGGTATTTCGGGGTTTAACTGAGCACGCCTTTGGTTCGCTTGTCAGTGCGTTCCAGCGACTTCCAGATGAAAAGGTTTTGTCCTGCTTGAATACAAGCAAGTTGAGGGTTTTGAACTAGAAAAACTCGCCAAATAATAAAACTCCCAGAATTAAACAGTAATGTGGGGATCGCTCTAGATTTACTCGTCAGGACGCGAGAAAAGCAGCAACCCCCACAGCTTTTAAATGAAGCACATTTACTATATAGATACTGGAGCGTATTCGACTTTTTTTCTCTAAGATTCACATTCGGTTGATTATTATTTATACAGACTCTGTAGTTGTCTATTTATGTGCAAGAAGAAGTTTTTGTTAATCTTAAGGTCCCTTGATCTTACCCACAAAGAAACCAGTGGTCTGCTTAGATAAATTCCGGAACGGTTAAAATTGAATAGCGCTGCCAGTAGAATAACTCACTACGATATAAACAATACAAACCTAAGCCCTTAATACATATATTCGATTCGCATATAAATAACTGAAGTGATATGTCAGAAATCGAAAATGTCAACATTAGTAGAAATGTGTCTCAGTAAGGAAGTCGTAAAACACAAACTAACATTTTGTTCAGTTTAATGAGTTATATCAGCTAATGTATTATGAGCAGAAATTACCGGATACGTATATAAACTAAACTAAAAAACTAAAAACGATCCAAAATCAATACAATAAATTGGCAGGTAAACTTTTTGGTACATGGTGTTTTAAGTGCAAACCACTAAAGATCTCAAAAATGTATTAATAAAACCCGATATTTAAACTTAAGAGCACTCTACTTACAGTTGCACTCAGATTATATAAACTCAAGTATATGACCAAGCAGTCTTGAGCACTGCAAACAGAAGCAAGTTGGAAGGTTAACGCTAGGCTACATGCTCACCTGTTTCCTGTCAAGATCAGCTAGTGCAGTTGGGTTCTCGCAGGCACCCAATACTGCAACAATGATTGCTGAGAATAATATTATAGTCTTGAACATGTTGGCGGATTTAGTTTCTCAGACTAATTACCAGTCCGGAGCTAGGATCATGGTTTTATATATACCGATGCGGAAGATGATAATAAGCTGATATCTGGTCTGAAAATTGTTATTTACACGATTTCAGTTTTTAATTTTTATACACCATAGAAACTTTAGACAAAGGTCATCACAACATGATCATAGAATTAGTCTGGATTTAAAACAAGAGATTATAATAGTAAACGTACCGTGGTTAGTGCTCGAATTTATGTTGTACAACCTTTGCGAATATCTTTATAGGTGAAACCTTAGATTACGCCACCGTATTCCTGAAAAAATGTCATTGCTAATAAAAATTCGTGCCCTCACATGCTGCCAAGTGCTTTGAATACACCAACTTGTATAGGATGTCCCAACCGTGCGTCTGAATAAAATATTTTCATAGAAAACTAATAATGGGTTGTATATGGTACCAGAGGGTACGTCTCAAAGTTGATTTTTATTTTCAAAAGAAATGGCCTTATTTATATTCCACCTACGTTCATACAAGAAATCGTCAAAGTCTTGGTAGCCTGCGTATCTTGACAGTTAACAATTTTTTAGTATACTCAATTCTATACTAGTTCATGCATTTTTCTAACTTTTTGAGTGTTGAGTATAAGATGGTCAAAAACGAAAAAACGTACTTTATCTAAGAAAGCAGCTGTCTGAACATCTTAGCATTTCTATATTGCACCTTTTTCTAGGCTTCTCCGTAACATAGAGGTCAATTGTGCTCGTCTATGAAGTATCTAAATTATAGTTGAAGTTTTGAATTGTTCGCACAAGTAAATAGCATATAATAACTATCAAAAATCGTATTATCTGTAAAAACAAAAGAAGAATAGCAAACCTACACCCAAAACTAAGCATCCTTAATTCGTTGAAGCTGAGCTTTTTTCATTGAACCAAAGGACGTTCATGTAATTGTACGGTGGATCCTATAACAAGAACTACATGTAATGCTCATTTTACTGACGGGATCAAAAGTACAGCTAAAATTTTGAGGTCGACTTCCAAGGTAGCTAAGGTAGAATTCTACAACTTCTATTTGAAGTGTTTTTTCCTAAAATGCCTTCCCAAAGAGTTATCGAGCGGTTCCGGTACTTCTGCCACACCCTGCATATTATACGAGGTCTGTAAATTAAGTGATGAAACTGATTTTTTGAAAATTTCTTATTCAAATATAATTACAATTTTATAAATAACTTCCTTCTGAAACCACACAGTGCTGGAGATGGTTCTTCCACTCGTTATAGCAGTGCTGGAACTCCGATTCTGGAATAGCATTCAGCTGGTCGTTTGAATGTTTTCGACTGTTCCAAAATGAGTTCCCTGGAGGTGAGTTTTCAACTTTTGGAAAAAAGTCACAAGGCGAATTAGTAGGCTGAGGAGCCACATGAATGTTTCTACCCGCTTATTGGCATTGCTGCGTAACAAGGAGCCGTATCGTGATGTAACACCTAGTTGTTCTTGACCTGATGATCGATGGTGTCCGTCAAACCTAATTCTTCCCCGGTCAATCAGACTGTCAACCGACGATTTGAACGAACACGATCCCGGACCCTGTCAATATTTTAATCAGTTCTTCAAGATGAAGGCTTCGTGGTTCATCTCCAGTCGACTCCATCCCTTCTGAAAATGCCGAAAGCTACCGAAAAAACCTGGGCTCTTTACAAAGCACCGTAGGCCTGCTGAAAATTAACAAGAATTTCCGCTTACTGTGCCCAAGTCTGAAGCAAAACTTGATAGCACACCGTTGCTCGAAATTAATGTTACTCATTTTTAGAATACGATAGGAATAACTGTTTCACAAAAAAATCCCTACGGACAACCAAATGGCTCGAACGAATTCAAACTAGTACTGAAGGCGGATCACGTACTCTCCTGTCTCTTCTACAAGCTTGGCGCCTTCCAGAGTTGCCAAAGCGAATGCTACGTTGCTAGTTCCATTACTTAATTACTTAATTTCCAGTCCTCGTATGTTGAATCAAGGCAAAAATAAATTAAATTATAAAAGTGCAGACGAGAAAACAACAAATTGTCTTACTAATTCACACGTAGGAGGAGGTGTCAAACTTAAAATAGACGCAATTTGACAAACAACTACATTAAGAATGAAAATAAATATAAACATAATAATACTTTCTCAATACTAGTTAGACATGGTCTAGGGAATTTCAGGTATCTCCTTGCTCAGAAATCTAAAATTCAAGTATCTGAATGAATGACGATGTAATATTTTCTAGTATGTGCCTCCTTATATAAAAAAATGATACAAGTATTCTTCTTACACCTACTCTTTTTGTTTCCATGCATGATCCGATATTTTTTCTATATGCGATTGCCGTGTCTATTTGATGAAGAATTAATTACAACTGAAAGAGTAGTTTTAAAAGACAAACATATTGATATTGCCAAGACAGTAGATATGCAGCTCGTCCGATTTTGGTGATCCTTACGTGGAATACTCAGCAGCTCAACAACTAGTAATCTAAAGAGCTTAACTGCATAATATGTAATAAGATGTAGGTCATTTCACCTGAAACGAATAGATTTTATATGATGCTCAAAGCTAGAATGGCCTTTATTATACAGTATAGTTTGGGAATATGTTCCTAGATAGTATAATATGATAACCCATAAACAGATTTCTTCATTTAAGGGCAATACTCGGTCCTCGCACGGTTGGAACATCCTGCATAAAACATATTATCATTACTATAAGAAAGGTTAAACGATTTGGAAAACTGGGAGCTTGGAGAAGTTTGAATGTATCCCAAATACATGTTTGGTATTGCTCAAATAATTCGCTCGTCACCTGTGAAATTTCGTGTCACAATGAAGTTACGACAGTTCTCCAGAAAAAAGCTTGTTAATTTCGATGTATGTCACACCAGATAATATTACACAGTAGGTGTTCGAAAGTTACGTTTTGATATCTGAATCGCAATACAGGGATACAATGCTAACATTCTCTGTCAATATTATGTGGACATAGAAGAACCACGTATTTTGAGACTCAAAATAAGTCGATTAGACATTATTTACCTGTATGAAGAAGTGTTACGTTTGCATGTTAGAGGTCATCAAAGCTTTCTTTTTAAAATACATTTTTTAAGTCTTCTAAGATATTTAAACAACCGATAGTCCGATTGGACGTTCTAATATGCGACTCTGCAAAAAAACTCTAAAGGGTTTGAGGAGGGTGAAAACTACCATACATAAATTATAGAAGATTTTTTCTCAACTTCCCCGACAAGTCTGATTTTTTTTAATTAGCATTTCTTTTCATTTGTTTAATTTTTTTCGTCTTATAAGAATAGGACATCTCTGACAGTGTTCGAGAAAAAAAATTAGTTGCATCAAGAAGTTTCCAAGCGTCTTATTAATTTTTGAAGTGTGGTAAGCGAAGGTAAATAAGTATGATATTACTTATTACAATTTTATTTGATACAGACAGTAGTGCAAACCTTTCATAAAAGGTGTTCAATAATGATCACCATTTTCATTCCTGCTCGTAACAATACCGCGCAAAAAATCATAATTGATTTTCTCTGATAATTGTTTGTTTTTAATGCTTCCCATTTCAAAGAATCGCAAGGTTCAAGATCCGGGGAACAAAGTGGCCATTGACTGGAGCTTCTTGATCTCGACTTATCCATCTACCATCAAATTTCTCGTTCAAGATCAGGAAGGCACTAATTCCTGGACTGGCTTAACGTAAAAAGAACAAATGAGTTGTTTATTTAAAATCTTGTTGACAGTGCTTTTTTGAACTCCTTGTTCATGTTCTAATCTGTGAGTGCTGATAACTGGATCTTCTTCGAATCCTTCAAGAACAGCTTCTTCTACTAGCGGTGTTCTGGTTCGCCGCGGATTCCCAGCGTTGACTCTTAGACATTGGAATCGACCAATCTTTCGAAGTCGGCATTCGATTACAAAAGTCGGACGATTTGGAGTTCTTTGAATCGGATATCTATTTCTCCTGATATGCGCGAACACTTTTTCTGCAATTCTCTTCGTAGACCAGGTGTTTATAACATATCAGTCTGATCGTCCAAAGAAAATTCCATATTCACAAGAAAAACAAGAACTCAACCAAAACATGGTCAGGCGGAATCGCACAGCAACCCTCTGTTGCGTGAGTCAGTAGACTACACAGTCGAACAAAATTAAACCGAGCATTTCTAGACCCAACTAAAATTACAGTTTCTCCACGCATACAAACTCCTTAATTAACTTTGGATTACCATAATTTGACAGACCTACCGACTTCCATTACTTTAACCAAGAGCAAAGGTCCCACGGACCGCTTTAATGGACAATGACGAATAGAAGAACTCTACCAAACATAATCTCAACCATTCAGTAGTTTAAAATTTATGAAGAACAAACGACAACAACAATCAAGAATAAACTCAAACATAACATTAAGTTAAGCTCTATGTAGCTCGTTTTCAAAAATTATCTGACACTGACATAACATCCCATACTTCCGTCAACTGGATGCCTACTAGATTTTAGCACTTGCTGTAATAAGAAAACTTTTCAGAAACCAGCTCCGAAAAACATTTTTTTATCTCTAAAACTGTGCCAGATAGCCTGTTTTTATACGAGATAAGAAACGGAGGCCCTTTTTAAAAAATCACAGTCGTCGGAGAGTTGCGAAAAAATTAAACATACTAGGACGTCTAGCAAAACACATGTGCTCCAATTTTCATCCAAATCAGACTGTCGCTTTTAGAAATATATGAAAATATGTGTTTTGAAAAGAAAACTCTGACGCCTTCTAATCGACTTATTTTGAGTCTGACAAGGTGTGGTGCTTCTATGTTCACGAAATTTTGGGACACCTTCTGCTACCAAGGGTAACCTTTCTCGAAAAGGGGTTCTCAAAAAATTCCTGAAGAAACTAGGAAGTTCCACAAATATCTCCACATTCCAGTTAGCCAAATGGATATTGGTGAAAAACTCACACAACAGTCCAAAAAATCTATACACTGGTACCAACTGATTAAGAAACGAAAACATTCGCTCAAAGTTCAAAACAAAGGCAAAAAACATATTGATAACATTCAAAGGAAATAAAATTGTCAGAAATAAATAACGTTATTTCTGCATCTATTATATAATTATGCACTAATCATGTAAATAATTGATATCAGGATAAAATTTAGGAATATTAGTAGCCACGTGTAGCTCTCGTTATCAGACTGGATTACACAATGGTCCCAATACATGCAAGCAGGGTAATTTGATAGGTCACCTGATAACCACTAATGCTAAAAATGTTTTTTAACTACTTGAGAAGTAGCATTCCTCTTCCTAGGTGAATGCTAAAAAACAAAGGTAAACAATAATATTGTCATTAAAAATTATATCCTGTCACTTTGATAACTGAATCTTATATTCGGAAATACTCTAAAATTATTCAGATAAGTGTAATTTTAGGCACATCTGTCAATACAGCTCCTCGAAAACAACTTTTATTGTTAATAAAAATAAAACATTTGTACCATGCTCCCCTTGGATGGACTAGTCCAAACCAGATCAGTTTGATTTGATTGTTTCAGTTTGACACAAGGTAACTAAGTATCTTGAGGCATTCGTAGTTAAAAAAATTGGTACATACCTCGTTTGAGAGGGCTGTTATTACTGTCGTACATTAGATCCTTCGGCTCTAAGCGACTTAGGTCTCAAAAGAGCTGGTCCAATAATGACCCACATCAAAAACTAGGTAAGTGGTGTTTACTACTAACCCGAAAAATCACTATTATTGCCGCAATGCCCTATTGAGAAGAAGGAAAAACCCATAAATACGTTATTTCAGATTGTAACATGTCATTTTCTTTATGTCAGTTTGAGAATTGGAATTAATATTTAAAAAAAATTAATAACGATTATGAAATAAGGAATGTTGAGCATAGCTAGTTATCCTTTTTGAAAACCAAAATAATCGCCATAAGGCTGAAAAACGGTTTTCATTATTGGACCAGTCCAAACCGAGTCGGGTGTGTGCTGCATTCAAAGAGTTCAGACTCCATAGTAGGAGCCAGTCAAAGATTCGTTTATCTTCTAATTCTTACAGTGAGGATCAATGTGCACTTTACGCAAGTTAATTTTTTGACAGTTCTGTCATTAAATTCGTAAATTCAATGTTATTTTTTAAATGTGCAAGTGTTTGCAGATAACTTGAGGTGTTAGGCGATTTCAGGACATAGTTCTTACACAATTTGCCACCTCTAAATATTATTATTACGTTGATACAACACTGTCACTTTGGTAGGTATTGGTAAACAAATGAATCAAAATGATGCACTTAGGCCGGTATTGTTAGTCGTTCCTGCAACTTCATAGTTCTCTACTGTTCCGTGTCAGTATTTTGGTAAATATCTGTTTGCATAAAATTCTTCATGTATTTGCTATATTGTATCATCTGTTTTATCAACCTAAAATATCCTACTTCTCAAAAGGAAAACATAACTTCACAATAGGAGAGTGCTGATGCAGACAGGAAACTGGTTATATCTAAAAATTCCCCAGCCTTTCTGAAGGTTAGAAAGGGCTATGAAAATCAAGGATAAGGTCCTAAAACTAGTCAATTTTGGCGACAAACAATACAATGTAAGCATATAGGTTTGGCCCCTTCTAACCTATTCTAATCCGTTGGTGGCATCGATTGATTTGAGTTTTTCATTTTGACAGATATCTAGTTATCTTATCTGATAAAATTAATTGGAAACTGGAATATTATGTGACTTACAGCGTTAGTCGTCCAGACTTGGTAGACCTACTGACCTACGGTACTTTAGCCAAGAACAAAGGTCCCGCGGACTGCTCTGACTGACAATGACGAATAGAAATAGTGTTAGTAGTTGGAAAAGTTCTATAGGTATACACCTCATTTGATCTCGCAAATTATATACTTCGGCTCTGCGCGTCTCAGTATTCTCCCAATAATGGCTCACGTCTCAAACTAAGTGTATAATTGTTGAACAGTATGCAAATCCCAAAAGAATGGCAACTTAGCTCCACAATATAGAATTCATTAACTGAATATCTTTCCTCAATTAGCCTGCTCACTCGTTTTAACTTCCCACACATCCTGGTTTCCTGTTTATAGGGGCAAGAATGTAGAGTTTCACAATTTCCTAACCGAGCTTTGCAATTATTACTAATTTTCAATTAACTTCCAATACAGGGTGTTTTAGTTTATTGTTGCATAACTTTAAGATTCGATAGAACTTTTAAAATTAATGCATAAAGTCTATATAAACATGGGTCGAAAAATGCGTGGCTTCCGAAATACAGGGTGTTTAAATTTGCTTTCTAAAATAGTTTTTTTTAAATATTTCGAACAATATTTGATGTATAACAGTGAAAATTGGCATACAGGGGTTTTTTGGTACGACAAAACGAACTATGGGCATAGTTTTACTGTAGCCGCTAGAGGGAGCTCTCTACTGTACCTGTAGTGTATTAAAATGACTGAAATTTTTTTCTTAGTGCAATTTTTTGCTTTATGAATAAAAAACTGATTCTTGGCACTTTCAACATAAAAAAGCTCTCTTGTGAATTTTGGTTCTTGTTATCCGTTTTTGAGGTATTTCGATTTTTAAGGTTCGATGCATTTTTAATTATTTATGATAAAATAACGTTAAAAAGTCAGTATCTCGATAATTTTTAGAAGTAGGCTGTGCCTGCAAATATTTTTGAAATTGAAAGCAGAATAAGGTTAAACGTCAATTAGTTGACAGTTAGTTTTGTTGTCTGCTGAAACCTGAAACGTTTTTTTGCAATTGTGAATGCACGAAATTTAGTTTCTTTTACCTGTTTTTTTGTAAGTTTTATAAAACTGCCATTTTTATTCTCCAATCAAGAGTTAGCGGATATTTATTTTGTGTATGGCTTTGTAAATGGAAACGCAACAGAAGCAGCCAGAGAATACACACAAACATTTCCAAACAGACGACATCCAACTCGCTCAGTATTTGTAAGAGTGCATCGCCAAATAATTGAAAATGGTTTTGGAAATCTCCAAAGGGATCAAAACACAAATGTTCGTCAGCGCAGATTTACCCGTATGATTCTGCGTGAGTTTGATAGAGATCCGACCACAAGTGTTAGGAGAGTTTTTGGTGCCTTGGGAATTTCAGCAAGCCATGTTCACCGTGTTCTTAGAAATGACCGTAGACGTCCTTACTTACCATTTGCACCCTGTGCAAGGACTACAGCCAGGGGACGGAGAAGGAAGAATCACATTTTGTCAGTGGATTCTTGATAGAACTGATAATAATAGGGAGTTTTTAAGTAACGTTTTATGGACCGATGAGTCATGCTTCACTAGACGTGGTCGCATGAAAATCCGCATGCAGTTCGGGAAAGAAATTTTCAGCATGAATTTAGTGTGAACGTGTAGATTGGTATCTACCGTAATCGACTATTTGGACCCTACCTTTTGCCTTCAAGGTTAAATGCTGCGACCTTCTTGGAATTTTTAAAGGCTGAACATGCAAATATGTGGGATGATGTTATGTTAGATTTAAGAAGATTGGCCTGGTTCCAGCTTGATGGTTGCCCAGCTCATTATTGGAGAATAGTTCGAAACTGGCTGGACGAAAATTATCCAGAAAGATGGATCGGCCGTGGAGGACCAGTCGCCTGGCCTCCACGATCCCCTGACCTAAATCCATTAGATTTCTTTGTGTGGGGATTTCTAAAAGAAAAAGTGTACCAGACTCCCGTAACCACAAGAGATATGCTAATAGACAGAATCAGGAATGCATGTGATGAAATAAGGCCTTATTTGAATAATGCTATACCACGATCATTCGTACATGTGAATTGTGTATTGAACAATTGGGTTTACATTTCGAGCAACTACTTTAGATTTTGTATGTTTGTCCTAACTATCCAATAGCATTTTAGTTGTAAATAATTAATTTAATTTGTTAAAATTAATATTGGAAAATTAAACAAATTAATATTCTGTTTTTTGTGTTTATTTGGAGTTAGGAATTATTGCTGTGTTTAAAAACACAATCTAAATGATCATCTTAATTACTTGTAATGCCCAAATCGAAAATGTAAAAAAAATATTATCCCATAAATAATTAAAAATGTATCGAACCTTAAAAATCGAAATATCTCAAAAACGGCTAACTATAACGAAAACTCACAAAACAGCTTTTTTATGTTGAAAAGTGCGAAGAATCAGTTTTTTATTCAAAAAGCAAAAAATTGCACTAAGAAAAAATTTTCGGTCATTTTAATACACTACAGGTACAGTAGAGACCGCCCTCTAGCGGCTACAGTAAAACTATGCCCATAGTTCGTTTTGTCGTACCAAAAAACCCTTGTGTACCAATTTTCACTGTTATACATCAAATATTGTTCGAAATATTTAAAAAAAACTATTTTAGAAAGTAAACTTATTTCGTATTTCGGAAGCCACGCATTTTTCGACCCATGTTTATATAGACTCTATGCATTAGTTTTAAAAGTTCTATCGAATCTTAAAGTTATGCAACAATAAACTGAAACACCCTATTGTTATCTAACGTCACATCCATGTCTCGACTTATTATTTGAACGGACCAAGCTAGAAAGCTGAAAATCAGGGTAATGCGATTGATGCGTGTACTATATACTATATTTTACTTTTTTTTAATAACACGTGGGTTGAATGCTTTAAAACCCTAGAATGGCGAACTAACGGGCTGTCAAAATCATTTTTATACGTTGTATTTCAACTCATATACCAGACAAGACTCAAATTGAACGTAGCAACAGAGTTTGGAAGACACAAAGAAATAAATCGAGCAGTGAACAATGTACAGGGAAAAGTCAGGCTTTGCCTACAATATAATGGACAACATTTTGAACATTTGGCATGATTTACGTCTGCTTATTTATGATTATTATTGTTAATACCATCAATAAAATTTTCATGTTATGTTCAGGTTTTAACATACCTTTTTACTTTCTTATAATTTTCATCCAACAAAAAATGTTTGACCAACTAAGAAAATAATGTACATCACTGGACTTAGAACCAAAAAGTCCATTTAAATGTAAAAAATTCCAATATAGCGTCCTTATGAAAAAACAGAGTTGGTGATGGAAGTCGAAAGAAAAAATGCCGAATTGAAAATTTCACTACGCCATCTTGTAGAGGATAATAAGTAACAATGACAACATGCAGTTTGTTGTAAAATGACACCTCAAATAAAATCAGGAAAAAATAAAAGTGATTTTGGGATAAATCTGGTCGTACAACAAATGGCTATCTGATAATTTCAAGGACTACCTAAAAAATTAAGCTTTTTCGAAGGTTTGGCAATGACCATTATTTATTTTTGTAACCAGAATCAAAAACTCTATTCATCTGTCTAGAAATCCAATATAGGGTCTATACGAATAAATAAAGTTGATACATTGGGGCTTCATATCTCTTACAGTTTCCGAGATCCTAATGGTGAGGGTCGAATTGGAAACACCCTGTATGTACACTGTTGACTCCAATAATATTTTATCTGTCTCATTCCTATTTTATTTTTTGTCGTTAATCTACATTTCACCTAAAAATCGAGAATGAGTTTCCACAGCCTCTTTTCACTGTGAAATCTGAAAACTGTATTCATTTCAAAACAACTAATGCTTCGCTTTACGCCAATCTATTCATTATATTTGGGATCTCTTATACTATTTACCTATCCCTAAAGAAGCGAAAATTTAGATCTATAATCACGATGGTCTTTCAAGGCAAATGTCACGCAATGATTTGTTATTTTAGTTGTATTTTGATGATATGACGCTGATTCTATTATCAATTTGTCATGTCTTTATCTGATGCGGATTGATTGCAGTAAATGTATATCAATAAACCACATTTCAGTTTTATAGATAGAGTGCAGTGTTTACTGCATTTTCAAGAATCTGCCTAAGTGTATCCTTGAACATGTGTATCCATGTTTATAAAATTATACGCTATTAATTGATATTATCATAAGAATTGACTCAGATATTTTTGATGCTTGATTACGAATGCACTAGATAAGACTAAAGGCTTGTGTTCAATGAAATAAAACGAAGGTTAAATAAAACACGCCTCAGAATATGTTTTTCATATATTGTTTGCACAAAATTTTAATTCACCATTTTCAGGCATTATGATGTATTATTTACAGAAATAATTGTAAAAACTCAAATACTTGACAGCTTCTCTCAAGTACGGTGATGAAAAAAAAATTGTAATTTCTCAAGTTACAATTTTCAAGGTCTCATTTATTAAAAAATCAAAAGTTTGCCCCTCTAAGGAGAGGGTTGGTTATAAACATCAATAGCAAAAAATCGATGGATCAAGTCAGTCAAATACGCACATGCAATCAATAACTAATCCTAACCCATATGATACAACGTTGCGATCTAGATATCTCTCCCCTCACCTACTAGCAATACCAACCACCTAGTAACGTGGCTATAACTAACCTCGCAACTCGCCAGCTACTCTTCGGTCAAACTACAACGCAGGTATATCTACGTTCTATTTTCTTATTCATGTTTTAAGGGCAATAGCACAAGTAAACCTCGGATGCATGAAACATGTCAACATGGGTGCGTATAATTACTGGATTTGGAAGTACATGAATATACCAATTCCAAAAATATTGAGATATACCATCCCCCACCTCCTACAGTCCTCCAATCCCCAAGTCTTAACTCCTTCAATTTATCTCTGGAAATTGCCAGGAGAATTAGAAACATCAAAAATGGAGTTTAGTCTGTAGGACTGCCGCTCCTTTGATTTTCGTCCTTGGCAAGTCGTAACCTGGTTTCAAAATTTCAGGAAAATGCAAGCGGTACTTTCCCAGTTATAGCGGGGCAAAGGATAGGTGGACAGACATACTAAATTGGTAAGATTTGCCTACCTTTAATCACATTATCTCCGTACGTATGTAAACAAAAATTTGCCGTTGGCTCTTGCATTATCTCTATTCCTTTGGGGGTAGTGCGGAATTGCCAGATTGCCATAATGCAGCTTGTAGCATTAGAAGAGAGTTTAAGAAAGATGATGGCATTTTTTTTTTCAGTGTCAGTTACTTATTCAAAAGCAACCAACCAATTACTTCTACGATACCCGATGAAAATCTTTGAAGTGATGCTGGTATGTAAGACGAGGCGAAAATCTTGTATTCGGGAGAAAAGCTTT